TCCTGCAAGCTGTTCTGCGCGAGCTCGGCGTCGCAAGAACCAGATTCCCAGCATCTCCGTTGACCAACATCGCCGTCAGCGCGGCCTCGGGAATGGCTGCACGTCGGCACGCACGTGAAGGCTTACAGTGCCGTTTTTTATACATGCTCCGCGAGCGGATCATGTATTGAAGATGCAGGGTTTAGTATTAAAAGCAGCGATGAGTTCATGCATCAATTTATGCATGACTTGATCATGCATTCAACACAAATATTTTATAAGAAAAACGTATGTATTAAAGACTGCCCTGTAGCCCGACCTCCGCTGGAGCCCCTGCGGCCGCTGACGCAAACGAGTTTTCTTGTTCTGCATGTTTAGCATAAGGGATGAGCCGGGTAACCCGAGGGGGTTTTGTTGGTGGCCACCCCGCGGCCGCCCGTGGCCGCCCACCTCCGTACAGAGTTTCCACCTCGACGGCGCAACAACTCGCTGTTCGGGCCCGCGCTGGCTAAGATTGCTTGTTTTGTAGGGGGAGTCCAGGTATCTTTAATTTTCGCTTATGTGCACCGCTACACCGTTACACCGTCAGCGCAACGGTATAACGCAACACCGTTACGCCGTGAGCTGCAACGGTGTAGCGCTACAGAGTTACACCGATGCACCATTAGCGCAGCGAGGTCGGATTACACCGTTACACCGTGAGCCGCAGCGGTGTAGGTTTACACCGCTACACCGTTAGTTGCACCAGTGCAGGGCTGCACCGCTACACCATTACACCGTTAGCCGCAACGGCTACGACAGGTCCCACAGCAGTCCAGGCCCCCCCCCAAGAGGTCAGCAAGGCCACTCCAGTCACCGACTGAAGGGACCTACACGGCACTTTCCCCAAACAAATATTGTGTAGGTCCCTTCAGTCGCTGGCTGGACCACGTGGCGCGCCAACAGATTGAGACATGGGGGTCTGGACGGCTGGAAGCTGTCATGCTCCGTTGTAGTCAATGGTGAAGCTGTGCATCGTTACGTTGTTGCGGCCAATGGTGTCACGGTGTAGCGGTACAGTCTTGCACCGTGGCGGCTAATGGTGCGCCGTGCAGGGTTGCAGCATGACGCCCCCACAGCTATCTAGACCTTCATGAGGTCCCCAAGGAGCATCCAAAAGACCGCCCTGGTGAGGCCCGGGGATCAAAACACATCATCAAAATGATGAGAGGGTCCAGATGACGAAGAAAGCTCTTAACGCCAGAGCTCCCAAGAGCGAACTGTGGCGTAAGAAGCTCGAGACGGCCGGGCCCGCCGGTCCAGAAGCCACGTGACCCTTGCAATCCCATGGAGGCCAGTGGAGCCCAGTCCGGAGGAGGCCGTCGCGACTTGGGGATCAACCAGCCGCGCGGGGCCCAGACTGGACAACCCAGCTCGGGAACGATTCCTTTTGAGCCCCAGGAGCCCAGTGAGCCCAACGAGGGTGGTGAGCAGAACGAGGCCCGCGTCCTGCCGTCGGGCCACACGGGCCATGCGGGGCGGAGGCCGGACAACACCGGCCAGAAGTGGCTTCCTGCGGCCTCTTTGGGCGCAGTCACCCTCACGAGGTCCACACGAAGAAGGAGGCCAATGACACGTTTGAGAAGCCCAGGAGGAGGAGGAGGAGGAGGAGGAGGAGGAGGAGGAGGAGGAGGAGGAGGAGCAGGAGGAGGAGGAGGAGGAGGAGGAGGGGAGGTGGAGGTGGAGGAGGAGGAGAGGAGGAGGAGGAGGAGGAGGAGGAGGAGGAGGAGGAGGAGCAGGAGGAGGTTGGAGGAGGAGGAGGAGGAGGAGGAGGAGGAGGAGGAGAGGAGGATGGAGGAAGAGGAGGAGGAGGAGGAGGAGGAGGAGGAGGAGGAGGAGGAGGAGGAGGAGGAGGAGGAGGAGGAGGAGAAGGGGCGCCAGGCCCGATGCAGGCCTGGGCGGCTTGAGCGAGCCACGTGCTCACTGCACTCGCAGGGGGCCTACGGGAGTCGGGGCCGGAGGGCCTCGTCCCGAGCTCGGATGTCGCGAGGCCTGCAGGGCACAGGCCGGAGGACGTCGCTCCCAAGTGACTCCTTGTGAGCCTCACGAGCCGGTTCAGCCTGACGAGGGCTATATTGTACAGTGCCGTTTTCAATACGTGCTCCGCGTGCGGATTATGTATTAAAAGATGCAGGGATTCAGTATTGAAAACAACGATGAGTTCATGCATAAATGTATTCACACATTAATCATATATTTTTAAAATCGCATGTATTACAAAACTGCCCTGTAAGCAGAATGAGACCTATAAGGCCTTTGAAAAGCTCCAGGAACCATATGAACCCTACAATCGCAAGAAGCCCAGTGGAGCCAGGGCCGGAGGATCTCGCTCCGAATCCTACGAGGTTTGCGGGGCAATCTTGGCCAGAGGAACTTGGCCCGAAATGGCCTAGAAGCCCTATGGGCCCAGTCAGCCTGAGGAGGCCAATGAGCAGAATGAGGCCCAGAAGGCTTCGCGAAGGGCCAGGAGCCACATGGTCTCTATAATCGCAGGGGGCCCAATGCAGCCAGGACCTGAGGACCTCGTCCCGAATGGGGGCCCCACCGATGCTTGCCGGGCCCAGGCCGAAGGACCTCCTGTGAGCCTCATGAGCCCAGTCTGCCTGACGAGGCCCGTGAGCCGAATGAGGCCCAGAGGGCCTGGCAGAAGGCCGAGGGGCCATGTGATTCCTAGAACTTATAGCTGCAACCGGCCCAGCGGGGCAAGGGCCAGCTGACCCCGACCCGAATTCGATTCTCGGAGCCCTGTGGGCCAAGGCCGGAGGACTTCGCTCCGACGCGGCCTCCTCGAGGGCCTAAGAGCCCATGCGCAGAGCCGCGGCCGCGCTGCACTGTTCGAGGCCTCCCTCGAGGGTCGACGGCCCAAGATCCAAGATGCAGGGCGACTTCCTTGGGATGCTCCTCAGGCTTTCCCTGATCGCTGGGAGCTTCTAATTTGGCGGCGCCTGCGGTCGTGGTTCGGGATCCGTCTCCCTCGTCGGATGCGCGAGCGATGAGAGCTGGCTCGAGAAATCATGCTTCGGGCCCCTCCTGGCGTCTGCCGGCCCTACCTCAGGACCAGCTCGGGAAGTTCGGCTGCACCCAGCCTGGTCGGGTCTCCCACTGCCTCTCCTGCCTTCGCCTTGTTCATCTCGTCTGTCGTCCTCGTGCCATCTTCCCTCGCTGTCCACTTCTCCATCTTGGCCTCGGCCTTCCGATCCAGTACCCTGCGTGTGACCTCACGCGTGAGAGTGCCATCCTCGCGACACCTTTCTGCTTCTGCATCTGCAACGTAGCGAAGGACGCAACGAAGCGTCAGAGTGGCATGCCACCCTCAGTGCCACAACAACCTGAGGTCGTACGCGCCTGCGCAGGCGAAGTGATGCCCGAGGAGTACTCTCTTCTGCCTCCGGCCTCCGCCGCTAGGCGCCGACAGGCCTTAGAGATGGCTGTCAGATCGGCGTGCCCCATGGACGAACGTGCCCGCCTCAAGGTACTGGCGCTCCTCCTCCTCCTCCTCCTCCTCCTCCTCCTCCTCGCGAGACGTTTGAGCAGAATGACGCCCAGAAGGCTGTGGAACAGCCCCATGAACCACGTGGCCCCTAGACTCACAAGGAGTCCAGTGGTGCCGGTGCTGGTGCCGGAGGATCTCGTCCTGAATTCACGTTCTACGAGTATTGTGGGGCCAAGGCCACAGGACCTCGCCCCCAGCCGGCTTCCCCAAAGCCCCATGCGCTCAATGAATCTGACGGGGCTTATGAGCAGAATGAGGCCCAGAAAGTCTGCGGTAAAGCCGCTGAGCAGTGTGATCTCTATAATCGCAAGGATCCTAGTAGACCCAGCCATGGCCAGATGATCCTCGTCCCGAATTTAGGTCATACAGCCCTGCGGGGTTAAGGCTGGAGGACGTCGCCTCCAAGTGGTTAGCTGTGAGACCTATGAGCCCAGTCAGCCTAACGAGGCCCGTGAGCCGAATGAGGCCCAGAAGGCCTTCGCTGAGCCCCTTGAGCCACATGTTCCCTGCAATCGCAAGGAACCCAATGGCGCCAGAGCGTGGGGACCTCGTCTCGAACTGGGGCTCCACGAGCCTTGCGTGGCCAAGGCCAGAGGACATCGGCCCGAAGCCTGAGCGTGTACGCCCTACGAGCCCGGTCAACGTAGCGAGGCCTATGGGCCGAGTGAGGCCCAGAGGGTCTTTGCTGAGCCCCAAGAGCCACGTGACTCCTATCATCAAAAGGCGCCCAATGGAGCCAGGGGCGGAGGACACCGTCCCGAGTCGTCGTCGTTGTCGTCGTCGTCGTCGCCGTCGTATGCCGTCGTCGTCGTCGTCGTCGTCGTCGTCGTCGTCGTCGTCGTCGTCCGACCCCCCCCTGACGTTGCCACGACGGGCCCGGTCGGCGCGAGCGCCGCGAGGGGCAGGAGGAGGGTGAGGATGGAGAAGAGGGACGGCGACTCGAGCGCCATTAGATCATAGCTCACAGGGGGAGGAGGAGAGGAAGGAGGACGAGGGCGAAGATGAAACGGTGGAGTGGTGATGATGCTGCTGATGATGTTGCTGTTGGTGATGATGAGGATGGCGATCATGATGATGTCGATGCTGATGATGCTGATGATGATGATGATGATGCTGGTGATGATGCTGAGGATGATGATGATGACGCTGATGACCAACATGCTGATGATGATGCTGTTGACAATGATGATGACGATGATGATGATGCTGATGATGATGATGATGACGATGACGATGGTGATGATTATGATGATGGTGATGATGATGGGTATGATGATGATACTGTTGATGATGCTGTTGACAATGGTGATGACGGGGTTGTTGTTGTTGATGGTGATGATGCTGCTCATGATGATGATGATGATGATGATGATGATGATGATGATGATGATGATGCTGATGCTGATGCTGATGCTGATGCTGATGCTGATGCTGATGATGATGATTATGATGATGATGATGATGATGATGATGATGATGATGATGATGATGATGATGATGATGATGATGATGATGATGATGGTAGTGGTGGTGGTGGTGATTATGATGACGATGGTGATGAGGATGGATGAGGAGGGATGAGGAGGGATGAGGATGGATGAGGAGGAGAAGATGGAGGAGGAAGAAGGGGAGGAGGAGAAAGGGGAGGAGGAGGAGGAGGAGGAGGAGGAGGAGGAGGAGGAGGAGGAGGAGGAGGAGGAGAAAGGGGAGGAGGAGGAGGAGGAGGAGAGAGGAGGCATCCTGCGGTCTCTTGGGGGGGCCTCTTTGGGGAGGTTCAGGGGACCTCTTGTGGAAGCCGTCTTGCGAGGTGGTCCAGTCCGTTTCCCCTGAGACATCCTCGTAACTCTGAGCTCCGAGGTGCCGTGCGCGAGGTGGCCCGGCCCGTTTCGCCTGAGACATCCTCGCAACCTTGGGTTCCGAGATGCCGCGCGCGACGTTGTCTTCTCGCTTCACCTGAGACATTCTCATAAATCTGGTCGCCGAGATGGCCGCGCCTCACGAGAGGTGGTCTGGCCAGTTTCTCCTGAGACATCCTCACAAATGTGAGCTCCGAGGTGCCGCGAGCGAGGTGGTCTGACCCGCTTCGCTTGAGATATCCTCGCAGCACTCACCTCCGAGGTGCCGCGCGCGAGGTGGTGTGGCCCGTTTCGCTTGAGACATCCTCGCACCTCTGAGCTCCGAGGCGCCGTGCTCGGGGTGGTCCAGCCCGTCGCTCGCGCCTGAGACATCCTTGCAGGTCTACGCCGCTGCAATTCTACACCGTTGCGGCTGTCAATGTGACGGGGTAGCGGTGTAGCCCCACACAGTTGCGGCTGCTGGTGTAATGGTGTAACGCTGCAGCCCTACGCCGTTGTGGCTACTGGTGTGACGGCGTAGCGCTATAGCCCTGCACCGTCATGGTTAACATCGGCTAACGTAAAGGCATAGCTGTGTAGCCCTGCACCTTGGCGGCCAACGTTGTACCGGTGTAGCCATACACCATTGTCAGCCAACGGTCCAAAGGTGTAGCGGCGTGAGCAAGAATTAGCGCCCCAGATTTCCCCCACGCTGATTTCTAATGATTCTCCCATCGTAACGGGCGTCCCCACCACGACGGGAGGTTTTTGGTAGTTTTTGGCCTCCAGAGGCACTGGGCCTCGGCAACGTCAGAAAACGACCCAGAAGGAAAATACGGTCCCAGGGAAGGGGTCCCTGTGAACGAAAAAGACAACGTCGGACGTCTGGGAAGCCCAGTTGTTTTGTATCCTCCCAGCGTAACGGACGTCACCCGGGGGGGGGGGTTGAAGAAGGAACATCGGCACAGACCGAAGTTCTTGGAGGTCCGCGCGCGGATGTCCTGGATCGGCTCTGGACCCCCTCCCTGGCGTTGATTTGTGATTCTCCCAGCGTGCCGTCGAGGGAACAAACACGACGGCCATCACCAAGATGTCGCGGGATCTTGTCGACGCCGGCCTTGGTCATGGTCCAAGCCGGCCGCTGCCGATTCGTAGGGGTGGACCACGAGTTGACGGTGACCAGGATGGACCATGACCCAGATCGACACCGACGTTTCCGCGTTCCGCCTTGGTCATGGCCATCGTTGTCGGTCACAGGCGTCACCCAGGGAGGTGCCGAAGAAACATCGGCATGAACATACATTTTCAGAGCTCCGCGCACGGATCGGCGCAGGGCCCCTTTGGCGGCGCCTCCGGCGCCGCCTCCGGCGCGCTCCGCGCGCCAGGGAGGAGGGTCCAGCGCCAATCCACCGCGCCTCGGCGCGTCACGCTGATCACGTCCCCGCTTCCAGGCGGCAGCGTCCCGCAGCTCTTCCGACCTCCTCGCCCTGCGAAGCGCAGGCGGCGCGCTGTCAGCTCGCAGGACGCAGGCGTGCCGCCGGGGCCGCCGCCGAGACGCGAAGCGCCAAGCAAGAGTTCCTGACCGCACGTAGCCAGGGGGGGGGGGCGGGTGACGGCTGCTGCACCGAATGAGATCAAAAATGCAGCTCCAGGAGGCCGAGAGTGAGCATGGGGAGCTGATGCTGCAGGCGCAGGCCTGCTCCCCCCCCGCGCCCGCTGCTGCATGAGAGGAGCTGGGGTGAGGAGCAGGGAGGCAGGAGAGGGAATAATGGTGACGATGATGGTGATGATGATGAAGCTGAAGTCGAAGATGCAGATGAACATGAAGCTGTTGCCAATGATGGTGATGGCGATGGCGATGGCGATGGCGATGGTGATGGTGTTGATGATGATGCTGATAATGATGATGATGATACTGATGATTGTGATGCTGATGATGATGGTGATGATGATCATCATCATCATGATTACAATGAAGATGACCATGATGGTGATGGAGTCATTCTCACCCGCTTCCCCTTCCGCGTTCTGCCACCACCGCCGCCTGCTTGCAGAGTGAAGACTTGGCAATACATGTGATCAAGAGCGAGAGCGCTTGCGTGAAAAGGCTTGCGCGCATGCCCGCACGCTTTCCTTGCTACATTTCGCTTGCCCGACATTACTGGCCATGCCGATCAAACAGGCTAAGCTTCCGCCATTCGACCTAAGAGACGGCAGCGGTAAGTAGAATGGTGAATCTGAGCTCATGGACACGATAGAGATAAGTATGATGGAGAAGATTAGCCAAGATAGCCTGGTGAACGACAGGTTATCAGCCGAAGCCTATCCCCGAGACCACTGCTGCTCTTCTTGAAGCCATGGCGCGCCTGATGCAGGGGTTGGGTGGCGCACGCCCCTGGGCCCATGGCTCGGCTTGGCTGCAGGTGGACGCGGAGGGCGCTGGAACCCATGCAGTGGAGCTGCAGCGCGTCCAGAACGCGATTGACGGCGCCATGCGTGCGCGCCGCGCGGGTGGACTGCAGCATGTCTGAGAGCACCGCGAGCGTGCGCATTTTGTGACGCCCGCCGTGGGTGTGGCTGCTCATGCGCGTCTTGGAAGCCATCTTGGACCATCTGGGCCGTCTTGGAGGCCATCGAAGCCGTCTCGGAGACGTTTTCTGTGGAGCGCCGCGGCCGTCGGGTGGCCGGTGGCATCGGCCGAAGCCTCAGGGGAAATCTTCAGAATAACCGAAACGCAGATGAAATTTTGCACGTCGGGCACCCTTGTGGCAATACCACAGGGGGCGGCGGAGCGAAGTCGCCTACGGCGAATCACTGCCGCCCCCTGCCTTTTGAAATCGCCTATGTGGCCGAGCGTTGTGGCAAGAGCTCTGCTAAGCTATCGGACGATGTGTTCCCCCAACCGTTGTGGAAACCCTTCGGGGAATTCTTGGGGGAGGATAGTCGAGGAAGATCAGGAGGGGGAGGAGGAGGATGAGAAGGAGTTGGAGGAGGAGGAGAGGACAGGAGGAGGAGGAGGAGGAGGAGCAGGAGGGGCAGGAGGAGGAGGAGGCATCTTGGGAGCTTCTGGGGGCACTCTTGGAATTTCCTGGGAGTTTCCTGAGAGCCTCTTGGAGGCATCTTGGGGGCCTCCTTGGGCCTCTTGGGAGCCCTCGGGGGCTTGTCGGGGGCCTCTTTGGTCGTCTCAGGGCATTCCTGGCCCGTCTGACGCCGTCGGAAGCCGTCTTGGGGGCCTCTCTGAACCGACTTGAAACCCTCTTGGGGTGCTCCAGGGCCGTCTTGGAGGCAGTCTTGGACGTCTTGGAGGCCCCTTGGGCCGTCTGGGGGCCCTCTTGGGGGCCCCTTGGGCCGTTCTGGGGCCATCCTGGAGGCCTCTTGGTCGATCTTTCGGGGCTCTTGGGCCTTCTCGGGCCGTTGGAAGGCCGAAAGGAAGCAAATACCAAAGTCATTCGAACACATACAGAAAACCAAGGAGTTTGGCCTCTTCGGGCCTTCCTAGAGGCCCTCTTGGAGGCATCTTGGGCCGTCTTGGAGACGGCCTCTGGGGCCGTCTTGGGCTATCTTAGAGCCATCTCGGTCCGTCTTGGTGGGCTCCTGGCCCGTCTGACGCCGTCGGAAGCTGTCTTGGGGGCCTCTCTGGGCTGACTGGGGGCCCGTTGGGGGCGCCTCAGGGCCGTCTAGGAGGCAGTCTTGGGTGTATTGGAGGCTTATTGGGCCGTCTTAGAGCCCTCTTAGGGCCGTCTTGGGAGCCTCTGGGGCCGTCATGGGGCCGTCTTGGAGGCCGTAAGGGCCATCTTGAGACGTTCTCGGGGCCTCTTGGGCCCTCGGAGAGCCGATAAGAAGCAAATGCCACCAAAACTTCAAGATGAAAAACCTCAGGGAAATTAATGATTTTGGCCTCTTCGGGCCCTCCTGGAGAACCTGAGGGAGGCGGCCTCTTGGACCGTCTTGGCCTGTCTTGGAGGCTTGTTTGGGCGGACTTGGAGGTATCTTGGGCCCTCTTGCGCCATTTTCGACGCCACATTGGACCTTCTTGGGCGAACTTGGAAGCTATCTTGTCCTCTTGGAGACCATCTTGAGCCGTCTTGAGAGGATTATATCTGAACATTGAGGCCGTTTCCTGTCGTCTGCGCACCCTCCGGGTGGCTGCCGGGACGGGCCGAAGCGGCAGGGGACGTTCTGTTGGAAAGCAACCAACATCAAACCGTGCAGGGTCCAGCACGCCGGGCACCCTTGTGGCAGGACCACAGGGGGCGGCGGAGCGAAGAAGCCCCCTGCCTTCTGAAGTCGCCCCTACGGCCGAGCGTTGTGGCAAGAGCTCTGCCAAGCTATCGGGCCATGCGTTCCCCTATCCGTTGTGCAGACCCTTTGGAGGGCACTTGGAGGAGGATGGCGGGGAAGATCAGGAGGAGGAGGAGGAGGAGGAGGAGGAGGAGGAGGAGGAGGAGGAGAAGGAGGAGGAGGAGAAGGAGGAGGAGGAGGAGGAGGAGGAGGAGGGGGCATCTTGGGAGCCTCTGGGGGCACTCTTTGGGCCTCCTGGGAGCTGCTTGGGAGCCTCTTGGAGGCATCTCAGGGGCCTCTTTGGCTGTCTCAAGGCATTCCTGGCCCGTCTGACGCAGTCGGAAGCCGTCTCGGGTCTTGGGGGCCTCTCTGGGCCGACTTGAAACCCTCCTGCGGTGCTCCAGGGCCGTCTTGGAGGCCATCCTGCGCTTCTTGGAGGCATCTTGGGCCGTCTTGGGGCCCTCCTAAGGCTGTCTTGGGGGTCTCTTGGGCCGTTCTGGGGCCATCCTGGAGGCTTCTTGGCGATTTTGGGGCGATCCTGTCGGGGCTCTTGGGCAGTCGGAAGGCCGAAAAGAAGCAAATGCCAAAGTCCTTCAACACACCTTGCAGGCCTCTTGGGAGGCCTCTTGGGCCGTCTTGGAAGCCTCTTGGGCCGTCTTGCAGGCCTCTTGGAGGTCCTCTTGCAGGCCTCTTGGGCCGTCTTGGACGCCTCTTGTGGGAGCCTCTTGGGAGCGTATTGGGCCATCTTGAGGCTATCTTAGACCGTCTTTGGTGCATCTTGGACCGTCTTCTTGGAGGCATCGTGGGGCCATCTTGGCCGTCTTGGAGAGCATCTTGGCCGCCTTGGAGGCATCTTGAAGGCCATCTTGGGCCATGGTGGCCGTCTTGGGGATTTTTTGATCGGCGACTTCCGCGCCTTGCGCCATCGTAGCCGTCTTGGAGGCCATCTTGGCCATCTTGAAAGCCATCTCGGGCCATCTTGGCCGTCTTGAAAGCTACCTTGAGCCGTCTTGGGAGGATTTTTGCTGAGAATTGCGCGCCTTCCGCGTGGCCGGCGGGATGGACCGAAGCCCCAGGGGAGAGTTCTTTTGAAAAGACCTAACAACAAACCAGTAGGATCTAGCACGCCGGGCACCCTTGTGGCAAGACCACAGGGGGCGGCGGATCGAAGACGTCTACGTAGAATCACCGCCGCCCCCTGCCTTCTGGAATCGCCTATATGGCTGAGCGTTGTGGCAAGAGCTCTGCCATGCTGTCGGACCATGTGTTCCCCCAGCCATTGTGGAAACCCTTCGGGGAACACTTGGGGGAGGATGGCGGGGAAGATCAGGAGGAGGAGGAGGAAAAATCAGGGGGAATCTTGGGAGCCTCTGGGGGCACTCTTGGTGCCTCCTGGGAGCTTCCTGGGAGCCTCTTGGAGGCCTCTTGGGGGCCTCCCAGGGCTTCTTGGGGGCCTTGGCGGGCTTCTCGGAGGCCTCCTGGGGTGTCTTAGGGCTCCCTGGGCCGACTCGGGTCCCTCTTGGCGTGCTCCAGGGCTGTCTTGGAGGCCATCTTGGGCGTCTTGGAGGCCTCTTGGGCCGTCTTGGCGCCCTCTTGGGGCCCCCTTGGGGCTGTCTTGGGGCCTTCTTGGAGACCTCCTGGGCGATCTTGGGGCGATCTTGAGAGTCTCTTGGGCCGTCTGGAAAACCGAAGAAGCGCAAAGCCAAATGTATTGAAAAACCCTGAGGACAATTGATGATTTGGGCCTCTTCGGGCCTTCCTGGAGGACTTCTTGGAAGCCTCGTGGGCCGTCTTGGAGGCCTCGTGAGAGCCTCTTGAGCCATTGAGAATATTTAAGGCGGTCTTGGGTGCATCTTGGGCCGTCTTGGAGGCATCTCGGGGCCATCTTGGCCATCTTGGAGGCATCTTGGAGGCCATCTTGGGCCATCTTGGCGGTCTTGAAAGCCATCTGGAGCCGTCTTGGGATAATTTGTCAGAGAATTCCGATCCTTGTGCGGCCTTCCGCGGGGCCGGCGGGATGGGCCGAAGCCCCAGGGGAGAGTTCTTTTGAAAAAGAACCAACACCAAATCGTAAGATGTCTAGCGCGCCAGGCACTCCTGTGATAAATCAACAGAGGGCGGCGGATCGAAGACGCCTACGGCGAATCACCGCCGCCCCCCTGCCTTTTGATACCGCCCATGTGGCTGCGCGTTGTGGCAAGAGCTCCGCCAAGCTATCGGACCATGCGTTCCTCCAACCGTTGTGGAAACCCTTCGGGGAACGTTTGGGGGGGATGGCGGAGAAGATCAGGAGGAGGAGGAGGAGGAGGAGGAGGAGGAGGAGGAGGGCAGGAGGAGGAGGAGGAGGAGGGCAGGAGGAGGAGGAGGAGGAGGAGGAGGAGGAAGAGGAAATGGCATCTTGGGAGCCTCTGGGGG